ACGATCGTCGTAAGTAGCTTGGAATTAACCCCTTTTAAACTAAAACCTAGTAACGACTTTGTAAAACTCTGTTCACTATTAAAGAAACTATTCACAATATGCCTATCGATTTGCATGCAAAAATAATGCAAAATAACTACTACTACACTGCTTATTCGAGCCTCGGAATTATAGAAATTCTTGTGGTCGTCATTCTTTTGATCACATAGAAGACACTCCGATGTCAAAAACAAATACTGCATAATTGTATCAGACCTTATATACTAAATACACCAGTACAATTGAAAACATACGTGTAGTATCAAAGTTCAATGCAGCTTATAATGAAAAATGTATTGTAGTTTCGAAAAATCTTTATGATATTTCTTGTTCTTTTAAGTGTATTTGTATACCTATTTTTATTACACACTGTTATATAGTTATTCAGTTTGGGTTTTCTCCAAATTTTCATTTATTCCCTTTGAATGAATCACGCTGTACTTTCTTTCAATGAATCATGTAGATAGGGGCTACAAAGATAATTTCCATAATATGAAAAGATGTCAAATGTGATTAAAAAAAAAACTTACAATAAAAATAGGATGAACAACAATAAATAATATTCGCAATGAATAATCATCATTATCTCAATGTTACACGTAGAACAGTGTCATTAATGTTGAATTCATTTTTCAATTGAGGAATAAAACCTAAAGATTCGAAGCCGTCTAATGAGTCCCTTAAGCAAGGACGAAGTGCGTCTTGAGAGTTTCATTTCCTTAATACTTGAATTTTTATTAAGAAATGAAAAGCCACGAATAGTTATCCACATGACAGCTCTGAGTGGCTGAAATGAAACTGAACTGATGAGTCCCTTAAACAAGACCGAAACGATATTCGTAAGTAGCTTGGAATTAAACCCTTTTGAAACTCACCCTCAAGATAGTTACATGAGATTATCACTGTATATGATTTTTCGAGACATATACAACAGTATATTTTGGTCTTGTAATCACTTCATTGTGATCATTTAGATTCACTTGTCATCTGATGATCTGTTTAGCCTCAGTGAAATTTTAAGATTATGGTAGCTGTCCTCACCCTTCTTTAAAGGCGTCTGTGGCCCTCAATGAAATCCTTAGAAAGATTTCGATTTCGTTCGGAAAAGACTTTCCTATGGTATCATCTTCCTTTTAAAGCGCAGAATTATATGAAAACGAAAAATTCTTTATCTCGAAAGCACGACTACAAGAGAAAAAAAAAGTGTTTGACTATATAATTTTACAAGTAGCTTCTTGTATAGGTGACCTGATAAGTAGGGTAAATATTTATTTGAAACATCGCACGAGAAGAGGGCATCTTCGCCAAACATTGTAGTCATGAGGCGTTTCTAGATAAGAAGTGAGAAAAGTACCTTGGACCATCCTTTACTACCTAAAAAACAAAACAACAAAAAAATATTCGCCGAAAAACCAGTAGAACAATGATGAATCCATTGAAGTATTACAATCATGTAAAGACTGTTAATAAGATACAATGCAAGAAATTTGTATCACAATGAGTGGCTGGTATCGAAATGGGTACTAAATTAGATAGAGCTTGGGCGTGAATGACAATGTTGCTTTTTCGCAGAAAAACAAAATCGTAGACATCCATACACTCACATTTCTGTTGTTAAGGATCACTTCTACAACCTGTGACACTTGAGTCTTACATCCAAATCTGTCCATCTATTTTCTAAGCATTTTCCTTTTGTACATTAATGAGGATGTAAATAGATACATGAACATAGCTGTAGTGAACCGATTCCAAATAGTAACTGAATATAAAATGTTGAGAAAGGAAATCTTGGTTATGTACGAGTATGAGAGCGAATACCACACACACAATGTACATACAGACATCACTAGAAACAATATTAACCATCTCTTGACGTGACAACACTAGAACCACTATAAGTCCAATATCTACTTATCACATACATCTACACATGGCACTCATTGAGATTTTTCAATACTTTACTAAATACTTGAAACTGATCGATATGCAGTTTTGAGAAAGTTCGAAACGAGTCGTAATAACTCTCGAAAATTATTCAAACTATGGATTTTTCTCGAATTATGCTTTTTATTTGACAAAAGATGAATGAAATGGAAATAACTCTCAAATTCTTGATATAAAGAAGAATATTGAATATTAACTATCACAAAAATGTGGTAGGATTCACAAGTGTTCTCATTGAAAGTTGATTCAAGTTTAAAAATTTTAAGAGTTCGAAAGTGTCTTTCTACTGGGTTGCATCTTAAATTAAAAAGATGTAGCTCCATTCGCTACCGTTTTCTACTACAAACTCAGCTCAATATATGATACAATCAAGCATAGACTGGCATATCAAGACAGAGGCCCTCTGTGTACACATTTCTGGCGCCCGTCGGCCGGCCTCCTAACTTTAATGAAGATGGGTGTTTATATGGGCATTTGTTGTTTCCGTGAGTGGCACACATTTACAGTAGTTAAAAATTCCGAGATGAAACAGAAGATCTTTTTTTATGTCTATGCATTCACGGTTAATGGCAAGGGGGAAAAAGCGTACTCCCGTACTCCCATACTTCAGAGGGTCCATGGGAGTCAACGGGAGTATCGAGAGTACAGTGGAAGCCCATTAAAATTAAAACTTGTGTAGTTTATTTATTTGTCATATTGTTCAAAAACAATAAAATAAAGCTTTTTTTATTTTGAATCCTTACAACGACCTCGACGAGTAAATTGTGCTTTACTTGAAGCATCTCGAGCTGTGTATAACAGAAGAGATGTCTCGTTCTTTTTTTTCTTTCTATCACAATAAAGCGTCTAGATGGACTGTAAGACGCGAAAAGAAATAAATTTTCTAAATGACCTCGAATGATAACTACTCGTTAATTAAAGCATCGAGGATGATTGTGTGTAGCAAAGTATGTATACACCAGCGCCAGTTCAAAACTGAAGACTGAGTATATATCTAACTAGTCTACGATGTATTAAACCATCGGTAATTGAGGGGTACTCAAGACCCTTACCGTCTGTTATACAGAGGTATCCATAGCACCTCAAGTCCTATGTTATGGAACACACACCCTCAGGTCTTCAAAACCTATATTATGGAGATGTCCATAGGTCTTCAAAGAGTATTATACAGAGGTACTGAATAGTTCTCATGAGCTATTATCCATAGGTACATATAGGTTCATAAGCCCTATACTATAGCAATACCCGCAGAACATCAAGCAGTATTATATAGGGGTAGTCATAGATCGAGCAGGGCTATACGAGAGGGACAACCATAAGTCTTTACGGGATCTCTGATGAGGATAGCTATAGGTCCTCATAGTATATAGCAAACGTGGCCGCAATTGTATATGCCTTTAGGATCTATGTGTGCTATCTACTATAAGCTTTGAGTACGGTTCTTGATTAGTGGATTGGGAGAGCTCATATGTAATAAATTTCAGACTTCCTGTCAAAACCTCTGATAACACTTCCTGGGAAAACCGATAAGTTTACTCCAATAGAAAGGTAGAAAATTCGTCAATTGACTGTAACCAAATCATTTATACAGTAATCAGAAACTACTTACAGAATGATCGTAAAAACGCGCAATCGAAACGACGCGTTATGTGATTCTTTCAAACTCAAAATCTTCTGCAAGTTAGAATTAAGAATTATTACGACTATTTCTAGCTACTTAATCAATTGTTTACTATTGATTGTAGAGTTATGATTTATGCAATACAATATCCCTTCTCGCGTCTAATTGGTAGGACATCTGCCTGGATAGCAGAAAATATGTGGTTCGAGTCCCATGAAGAGATACTTTCTTTTAATATATCCTGAATGATGAACTCTTCCTCATGGTACAAATACGGAAAATTTTATTCTATTTAAAGGAACTTGGTTAACAAAGGTTATATTGTATATGGAGCTATCAACTAATAATTCTCAAAGATATATATTTATATAAAAAGAAAAATCCTTGAGTTCAAAAACACAACAGTAATAAAAAAGAAATAAGAGTTTCACGATATAAACTTACAAGCTGTTTCGTAAAAAACCTTATTCGAAGAATAAATATTCGTTCGAAACATCACACGAGAAGAGGAGGTCTTTATCAAGAGCTGCAGTGATGAAAAGTTTCTAGATAAGAAGTGAGAAAAAAACCTTGGATCACTGTCACAATAATGTAAAGACTATTGATGAGAGATAACACAAGACATCTGTATTACAATGTGCACCAGGTAACGAAATGGGTGTTATATATGAGAGCTCGCGAGTGGACGTCAATGTTGATATTTCGCCGAAAAAAAAAACACTCAGTCACCTATACATCCAAGATAGTATTGTTGAGGATCAGTTATACTACTAGTAACACTGTAAACC